AAACTCCCTGTTTTGGACCAAAGTTGATAGCAGTGATTGATTGTGTAGGTTGACTTTAACAGATCCAGAGGGTCGTCCAGTGAGCAGATCAGTTCAGCTCATCTGCCTCTGTACCTGCGGGAGGGGCGCAAGTAGATGGGGTAATTTTTCAAATCTGTTAGGAGCCATTTGCATGAGACTTCTGAGCAACGAGACTGAGCAACCTGATTTATAGTGTGTGTGAACCAGCGACCTGGCGAGGTGTGCGGTGCCCGAGTGTACATTTGCTTCCCTTAGGCAGTGCTGTGAGCAAAGGCAGTTCCCAAAGCATGCACTAACTGCAGTTTCTATGTAGCTTCCCGCTGTTCCTCGTGGCAGCAGCTGTGTCCAGGGCACGTGCCTGTTCCCCGTCCCCAAACGTGCTGCTTTGTCAGGACGGTGTGAGGTCTTATTTCTGGCATTAGAAGCAGCTGGAAGCAGGAATTTGAACATCTCCCAGTTGACATTTGATACATGAGAAGTAACCTCTGCTTTTCTTTCCCCTTTCTCTCCCAAATTTGTGGTGTTTCCTACTCCTGGGGCATACCGCATATGCCCCCTGCCACATGGCGCTGCCTCTTGTTCTCCTTTCGGCTTGAGGGGGGCTTGTGGCGGGAGGTTTGCTGGAAGCTGGCGAGCATGGATGTTAGGAGAGGGGATCGAAGCAACGCGTCTGTCAGGTGCGAGGCAGATTGTACCATCTAATCCCCCGGCTGTCGTCTGCAGCATTTGTCAAGGCCTCCGCTGGCCTGCTCCGTTTCATCAGAGGTATCGCTAGCATTCATCTAGGCTGGCAGCATTTCAGCAGCTGTTAATCCTCTTTGTATCTTTAAGCACTGTGACCACTGACAAGCTTCTATACTCTGAGGTGTCAAAATATCTCAAGATAGCTGTGGTGATGGTGGTTGGTTTTTGGTTTGTTTTTTTTTTTTTAATCCAGACACCTTCTGATCTATTGACCCAGACTGAACCTGATGGAGAAATCTGTGTCCCAGTGTCAGGTTTTTGCTGCTGCTGCTTGATGCTCACAAAGAATTTTGCCTAAAATCTGATTAATTTCTAGTTCCTCATGCTTGCGTTGCTCAGTTTTCTGTTCTACGTGTTACCTCAAGTAGCGCATGTTTCACTGAAGTTGTAAGGAATGTGGTTTAATGTCAATGTGCGAATGAGCTGGCAGGGTTTTCTCTTTATGCTTCAATTATTTTCCCTCCTGAAATAACCCTGACAACTCAGTCTTCTGCTACATTGTTTTCTTACTTTCTTCGCTATATGTTGTGGAAAGGGCCTGGGCAGTGTAACGAGGTGTAGTAGTGAGTGTTGGAGTTTCTCTGCATGTTTGCAGCCAAGAAGGAATGCTGAATTAAAATTACTCCAAATTTAGCTCTAAGTTTTAAAATTGGTTCCCTTGGGAAGGGGAATTTTTAGTGCAAGGGTGTTTTGGGAGGAGAGGGGAGCAAGGGTATAGCAGTAAATCTGTTGTAGAAAAGCAGCAGGGTAAAAGAAAGTGGTTCTGTTGGTCTTTAGGCTCTAGTTATGTATTTTTATAACTTCTTGGTGTTTTTATTATTTGCTACGAACCATCATTTAATAGCAGGGGAAAATCTTTCAAACTAACATTTCTTTGTTTAGTTTGTTTGTCCTCTCTGGAGAGCTCTCTCCCCATATGACAAAGCTCTGATGTTCTGAAGTTGGCTCCCCTAAGGCTCAGCTTTATTGAGAGAAGTGAAACATTTTAGGTGGTTCATTCATTCTTTCTGTGTCTCTTGTTATTTGAGCCCTTATGGTGTCCTTTGGTCATGTTTTTAAACTTATTTCTGCAACTAAGACTGCCAGAAGCTTTATTTAATAATAGTTGCGGTCTCATGTTCAACTTTTTTTTTTAGTTACCATTTTATCTCAAGCATCAAATATTGTGAGAGTAAATTAAAAGCAGCGTTGATGTCTTGTAATTTTGTGTTGAATGTTCCCTCTCTTACTGTGCAACTGAATTTCATTTTATGAAGCCAGAGGACTTCACTAAGACTAGGGGGCAGCTCAGACTTTGTTTGAAGTGCAAATACCACACCTTGATCTTGCTGAATAGCCCTTGTGTGTGGGTGGCTCAGCTGAAGTCATGGGAAGTGCATAGGTGGTTCCTGGCTTGGTTCCTTGTTTGCAACCTTATTATAAAGTCCTAGATTTTTGTAGGCTAGTGGAACATTATCCCCTGTCCGTGTGACAGGGTAAAATACTGAAAATGAAGCAGATCTTGAATCTGAAACCATGTAGTTGAGGATACTTGGAAAATTATTCTCTGTAAGTAGAAGCCCCAAACCACAGCTCCTGTCGTGACTGTGCCCATGCTGAAAAGCCCATCTGGTGGCTCATTTAGTGTTTAGGACAAAAGTGAATGTGACTTTTCCAAGGTAGGAATGGGCCTAGAGGCCAAGGAAAACCTGTTTAACAAGTCTGCTTGTTGAATGAACTGAGGTTTAAATGGTAAAACTCTGTTTTTCTTACTTGGGGAAGCATTTAAAGCTACTGATTCATAGCATTGGAAATACTGCTTCATTGGTTTTTAGGGTTTTTGAGGGCGAGAGGGGAAGAAAAAGGCAGAGAGGTCTGACTCAAAGGCAAGTGGCCCAGTTGGATCACGTGCAAAGATGTTTCCTTTTCATTTTTAAAACTCAGCAGCTTTCATCTTCAACCTGAAGGTCTTCTGTGCCCCTCCTTGATCTTCGCGTCGTGCCATGTGCCTTGTGATTTCTTTGAGGTCAGGTCTCTCCTCCTTTCCTTCACTGAGATTCTTGCCTCTCCATTCAGGTTCTCACTTGCCTGCTTTTCATCAGCTTTAGGATCCAGAGCTATTTCATACTGGTTTCTTTCCCAGCTATTTTTGTCCATGTTTGTAGTTGATGTTGTTGCAGATGGGGCTGACCATAGTACTGGGCAGCTGAACTCTCTCTCCAATCAACTAGGCAAGGTTGTGCCACAACCACTTTAATCGACAGTGCAACCAGTAAATGAATCTGTTGGCTATTTTTTCTTTCTTTAGGTGGGTTAAATGCCAACCTCATGCTGGGTCTCACGTACAACATATTTGTTCCTGTTTTCCTCTCCTGCTGCTGTTTCACTGCAGAGTGCTGCAGGCTAATAGTATCTGACGGGGCTACTTCCTATTGCCTGAAAAATGTTTAATTTTACTACCTTGCTTTCTCTCTTTCCCACTTTCTCTCATTTTGATCTCTCAAATCCAGTCCCTTTGAGAAATCAGATAGTATGAAATATGAAAATTGCTTGGGTAGTAATTGGAGAAACGGTGAGACTTATGAAACCCATGGAGATAACGCTTACATCTACTTATTCACATTATTTAATTTTTAATGGCAAATTTAATTAATGAAGCACAGTTCTTGTGGTTTCATGTGTGAATAAGTAACAGCAGGGAGCTGAAAGTCATGAGGTCTGTTTACAGGACAGAAAAAAAAGGCTCCATTAAAATCTGAACTTTTCATTATAGGAAGGAGTAAAATGGGTTTAATAGCATAGAAGTTTGACCATTATGTAACAAGTAAGTAAATGAAAACTTTAATGACAGTTTGCTGGCAAAATGCATTTTGAAGTGGTTACTCATCCATGATTTCTCAGTTTAAGTCTGTCTCTTAGGTCAAAGTTTGGAGAAGCAAAGTCTGTTCTGTGGGTTTTTCGGTATGTGACATAAATTCAGGCACCAGAGATAAAATGCTTAAATATAGCACCTTGAAGCCTAGCTTCTGAAAACCTGTATAAACCTTCCAATTAGCTAAGCTTCACACAACTTCAGTGATGCAGGCAGCTGTTATCCCTCGCTTGCAGATGGAGAATGGTGACTCGCCCAAGATTGCACAAGTGGCAGAACCGCTAATAGAACTTGAGTTATATCTGTCCTTTCCTTTTTCTAACCACTGAACAATATGTGTCATCTCATCATGCGCAGGACCACAGCTGCATTTATGGGAAAATAAATGAAGAGCAGCAAGAATAGTATTCTATATAAAATGACCAAATTTGGGGAGAGATGGCAGCTAGAACCGGCCCTAAATGAATAGCTGTCCTCGCTTTCAATACCATTTTGTCACTTCTTTGATTGATTATTGCATATTTTCTGCATGTGCCTTTTCAGACTAAGGGCCTTGCAGATGAGTTTTGAGTGAGGAAATTGCAGCTATTTCAGTATAAAGTCCAGAGGCTTTGCCTAAAGCAGCCTTATCAGCAGTTTAGTAACACAAGACCTTGCAGCGAAGTCGCTGGGGGTGTGCAGCCATTCCTGTCTGCTGTTCATGCTTGGGAAAGCGGCTTGTAAGTGCAGCCAAGAGGGAGGAATTCATCCTCCATGTTCAGCGTCTGAGCAGTTGTGAACTAAAACTCTTTCCGTGCAAGCTCAGGAGAATTTAATGCAAACCTCTTAAGCCCTGCAGCAAGACACTCCAGACTGTTTGGCAGTGCCTTAACTGATACCTGATACGCCTCCCTATGTTGTTAAAAGGGAAACAGGCTGCATAATTTTCTTTTAAAGAATAAGTAACAAAAGTAGAAGCACTGAAATGTAAAATGGATTTTCCAGTGCTAGCAGCCAATTTTGATACTTGCACGTCAGTAACTTACAAGATCCTTCACAGCAATTAATGAAAAAAGAGAACAAAACACAACCTAACTCAAAATAACTCAGTGCTGGAAACACCTTGTTTTTGTGGTTACATGGAATAATCAAAGCTGACGGTTGGTTGTTAGCGACCTTTTCCGCTCTTTCCTTTCACAAAGGTGAAGCACAGAATGGAGGACGTGTTGTGGCCTTGATGCATTTTGCTGCAAAGAAAATAAATTTTTAGGCATTTTTTGTGTCCTTTGAACTGAATATGCTGTTTGTTGGAAATTGTTATTAATTATAGAAGATAACTTTGTGACAGGATAATATCTGAGACACCTTTAATTTTTAGAGCTGAGCATTGTATTCTTTGTTTCAGAATGCAGAGATCTACAAGCTGACATCTGAGCAGTACCAGGAGGCAGCTACCAAGGCAGAGGAGTGGATAAAGTGAGGAGCCATTTTTGTTCTTTTCAGCAGTTCCAGTTGCATTTCGTAACACTCTGTGTGTAGCCTCTGGATATTCCCATAAACAGACTGTGAAGTTACCTCCCATCAGGTATTTAGGGGGCTGAGGAGTTGTAAGCTAGCATCCTCTCTTTCTGTGCCAAGCTTGACAGAATTTAGTATAAAGTTGTTACATCTTGCAAGGGAGATTGAGAGAGAAGACATGAACTTAGAAAATTCACATTAAATGGGAGTATTTACTAGGGTTTTCCAAATGGCAGTGGAACATGTTTAATTTGTTTGAACTTTGACCCAATGTGTTTAACCTACACATTGCAGCATTGAGCTAGTGCATGGGTATAGGAAGAATGGCACCCCTTCTAAAGCTTTCGTTGTCCAGGGAAGAAAAAGGTAAACAGCCTAAAATCTTAGCCCTGTAAATTTCAGTCAAAATAGAGTTGTAATTATCACGAATATTTTCTTAGAATGGGTGCAATGATTTTTCTGACCTTTTTTTATTGGCCTTGGCACAATTAGTGGACCTTTAATGTTGTCTTTTTAAATTGTGTCTAAATTCCATTTGTATTTGCCAGTACTGTTATATAGCTTATTGTTCCACATGCACTAACAGCTGTCCAAGAAAAAATATTTTCTATAATTCTTTAATATTAATGAGTCCAAAGTAATTACACTGTCAAGAGCAGCACTCGGATCTCAGTTGGGTAAACAGTTGGCCAACATGCAGTAAACCGGAGTAGCAACATATGTAGTCCAGTTGGGTCCAGTCCAGACTGTATGATACTTAATTGCATAAATAGATAATATAGTAGTGATGAATATGTTAGTGGGGTGTGCGGTATATTGTGCTGTCTTTATTTAAAATTATGTTTGGCTGCCAAAGCATCACATAACCTGTTGTAATTTCACATTTTTGTTTGGACAGTCAAGCAATAAGTTGCTAAAGAAGCCAAAACAAGGCAGCTAACACATTGCATGCATTTTCATGCAGTTTTCCATAGTAGAATTCTAAATTCTGTTTTTAAATAAAATTTTGAAAATTCATAGGGCATAAAGTTCTGATAGTCTTCGATCAGTTCAGTCTTTTCGTGGATTTGCTTCTGCAGGTGTGCGATCAGTTGTTTGGAACACATAGCAATGATTTATCCTTCTGACTTTGTAAAGCAAGAGATTGGGACCTTGGATTATGCTCTTTACTTACTATTACAGACTGTAACTAACCTATTTTTTATAGTAGTCTTAAGTTTCATTCCTGAAGTTTCAGTTTCATTTGGTCTCCTCTTTCTTGTGGAGATGAAGACTGGTAATATAGGAAACTCAGGAGTGCAACCATAAAGGTTAATGGCTGAGACCAACGCAAATGCTAATGACTTCTTTCTTTCAAGATTCGGAAAATGTGTTTATGGTCTCTAAGGGGTTCCTTCCTTTTCTTTGAGCCTTCATCATCTGCCAGTCCCTGGCTTCTGGCGTTATTGTACAATGCCCTTCTATTTGAAGGCCATATGAACTTGAGCCATCATAAAGGGACAGATTCCTTAGGCTGTCTTCCTTGCAGCTGAAAGAGACACCTGCTCTAGTGTGAATTTTCTGTGAAAAGATAATGTGGCTGGGGGATGCCTTGAGAAGGAACAAGCTGTGTGGCACTAGTGAAACTGAGGGAGAAGGTGAACATCATACTTTCTATTTCTTTACAGTAGAAATTGCCAGCAATAGTGAGGATTGCACTGAACTGCATGCTGGAGTGCATGATCTGGGACTGATAATCCCTTTGATAATTGTACGTGTGGGAAGAATCATTGCTTTGGCCCATCAGCCTGCAGTGTATGCGTGTCTTACAGCAGTATGCAGCGATCCTTTTCAGGATCGTTGCCTTGGTGTACAGGACGCCATACAAACACTCTTAAAGAGTGCACGTGCCTTGTGTGGGTCATGATAAGGCTGGGACAGGGAAACTTCCTTCGTATATTGGCATTCATGCTTAATTGGTAGGACTTGAAGTCTGCATGTTGTGAGGTCGTCTTGTTAGGCGTTGTACATTCAAGTCTTTCTACAGCCTGTTTATGGTAATAAATTACAAGATCCTGTGACTTCAGTGGAAAGAATAGTTTGCTCATCCTGTTTTGCGCTTTCATATTAGACATACAAGCACAGTAAGTGCTAAGATAGGTAAGACTGATTTATGCAGATCTAGTAGCTTGGTTGGCAGGAATAAACTGACACTCCAGCAAAATTACATGAACTGGAATATAGCCAAAGTATGAATGAAGCACAGGTCTGTGTGCTTCCAGTGCTGGACTATGACAGCTCCTGTAATGAAAGGAGTGTAACCAGGAGTGGCACTTTTTCCATCTGCAGAGGAGACTGCATCTCCTTCCCATAGTGTCTCTTCCCTAGCTTATATCATCCCTGTTTCACTGAACTCTTTGATCTGCCTCTGGCACTTGTGCCTTGTGAGACCAATCTACCCTGTGTTTGTTGTCTTTTGCCATTGTATATCAGCATAGCTGATGGAGGAAGAGGGGGATAGAGCTGGGGCTGTTTTCACAGTGAGTACCCTGTTTTTCGGAGTCCATGCTGAAGCAAAGATAAGAAATACCTGAAACAAAACCACCAGTGTTTTCTTGCCATTTATTAATTTCATAATTCTTTTATCAATACCTACAGCTCTGTATAAGTGGTCAAGTGTTCCACGGACTATTTCCTCTCTTTAGTGATTATCAAGCGTTGCAGGACTTAGGAATATTGTACAAGCTTTCCACCAGTGACCCTTCAGAGCATGCCTGCGAGGTAGGCAGGTAAACCTTCCTATCTCCCTTTGTGCAGAAACAGAAGTGAAGTACTTAGTGCTGAGCTTCATATTAAATCACCGACACAGTCATTAGCTCTTGGTTTCTACTTCGAGGTAGGATGCTAGGCTTGATGCCTGCATGGCTTGACTTGTGCAGTGGACTTTGTTCCTCATCTCTTCACCTGAACTCAGCCTGCTTCTGTCTCCATCTTCCTCCTACCACAGTGTCTCCTTCTTCTTTGTTCTGGGCTCTGTCCAAACTGTTTCTTTCTCCCAGGAAGAAGATCCTAGCAACAAGAAACCATTGAACACAGCTTTCAGCACCTTAAGCGGTTTGCCCTTGTTGCTTACATGCTGTGGTGAATTGGACAGTTGCCACGGACATATTGTCTCAATGATGTTATAATTGGTGCATTATTATTTTTCTCTTTTGTTAACCAACAGAATTAAAGTCTGGGGACTGCAACTTTTTCCCCCCTTTCTTCCCTGTTTAGCAAACTGTGCACATCAGTAACCACCCACAAAGGAAGCAGCGTGTAAATAAAAAGCCAGTGCTCCCCGCCCTTCACTTCGTTCCACATCCTTTTCTCAATGTTCATAGAGCCATGACTCAGACTGGGTTTAGAGAAGACAACTTGCTAATCCCCTCCCTGCTACAGAGAATAAAATGGCATTTCATTCCAAGCTCTATTAATGCGCTCGCTCCGGGGATAAAGCAGCACTCCCAAAAGGCAGTGGCCAAATTTTTTTTCTCTTGCGTTGTCTTTGTCTTCTTTTGAGTGTTACATTTAGATTAGCTTCTGAGGATTAAATGTCATTACAGTCCCTGAATCTGTTAAGGGGAAGGAAAAAAACATCAGTAAGGAGGTTATGGCTTAGTGCAGACACTCTAGATTTATCCTCAAAGTGCTGGTTTGTTTGGGGTTTTTTTTTTTTAAATTTGATTTATTTTCTTTTGTGAAGGTTGTCTTATCACGTTTTTATTTTATTTCTGTAGTGGTTAAATTTGGATGCAAGAATTGGCATGGGTGGGGGTGTGACTCTCTAAAAGGTAAAGCTGCAGGAGTGGGGTGAGGGGATTAGGAAGCTGTTAAAAGATAGAATTGTTCTGAAGCTGAGTTTCCCTCTGAGATCTCCTTATAGTTTGCAGAACTGTTTCTGAAGCTGCTTACCGATGGCTGTGTTGCTTTGCATGTTGTGCAGAGAGGACTGCATATGCTTTGCGCTGTTATCAAGGAGTGCATAAAGAACATCAGTATCTTATCCTGATAGAGATCAGCCTTGAATCCAAGGCAGCTTTCCAATGGAGAAACTGCCAAAGAGATTTACTCCATATGGGACTTAGTATCTAAGAGTTCCATTTAATGGTCCTAAGATCTTTAAAGTTAATGGACATAAGTATTTAAGGTGATTACGTTAGAGAAACTGGCATGTAGTAAGTATCCTCCTGGGCTGAACGTGGAGTAGAGAACCATGCTGACTCAGTGGGGGTAGGGGGAGAAAGTTCATCGATGGACTGTCTGCTGGGAACAGGGAATTTATGGCTTGCTTTCAGTACTCATGGAAATGAAGGTTTTACTGAATTGCACAAAATTTTATGAGGCTGATGGCCCCTCAATTAAAATGGCAACACTAACTGGAACCTAGAGGAACTGCCTTTTTTTTTTTTTTTTCTTGTTTATGTAAATCTGGAAAGTTTATAAGATAGTTATGTGGTGATACTTGAGTTTATTAATCTTGACTTCTACTACAAGGCGTCATGTATTTCTACAGAGGGCTGTGTCCAGGAGTCAAGCTCTGAAATACTTATTTTGTGGACAGTCATGAAGCCCAAGGAGAAGAAGGGTAAAGACAATATAGTTTTCAAACAAAATTGCTCTGGGATTTCTCGTATCATTAGATTAGATAAATGATTAATTCAGTATTGAAATTAAGAGCCTCTGCAATAGGGATTTAAGAGTTTTCAGGAATAAAAGACTGATTACTGCTGGGAGCTCATCCCCAGCCTTATCTCAGCATAGTGCTTTTGTGCCTTGCAATGATGGTACCTTCACAAAAAATGGTTTGGCTCCATCCCAGTCCTGTTCTTCCCTCAGTGCTTGATTTGTGTGAGTTGTTCCTGCTTCTGTCTGTGCTGAGTCTGTTTCATGTAATCTTTATTTAGAGATGAGTTATTAGTCAAAGCTTTGCTGTTTCT